GAAACCCCGTCACCACCTTCCAGGGCTTCTTTGCGTCGACCACCGCTGGCCGCCGTAACCGCTGCTGGCTCGATTCGATTGCAGAGTGCTTGCATGCACTCTGCACTCCTCTATGGTTCCACGCCTCCAAAGGCAAGACCAATCACATCTATACGAAGGTCATGAAGGTTCTGTCCTCGCGCGCCACTTGGGAGATGTCACAGAAAGGACCTTCTTCGAGTTGATTTTCGACGCAAGAGATAACAGCAAGTCTGTTCCAGCTCCCGCGAGGTCTTTATTCCGTCTCCACCGTCTCCGCAAACTGGTTTGCTCTCGCGATTCTTCCCATCGCATTAACGAAACAATTCCCACGAATACTATCAACCTCTGTCCTCAAGACTTTCAAGGGCAATTGACTTATGCCCATACATCCGATTTGATCGCTCAATGGACCTCTCCAGCTGGAATCCGCGGAGTTTCTAACCGACACTGTCAAGCCTGCAAGAAATTGGACGAGGGCTCACCTCCATTTGTGGAGAGAAACCAGCTGTCTTTCGAACCTAACCCTCCTCCACCTCACCTCTACGTGCATCTCGAGCTTTCGAGATTCTTGATATCAGACTCAAAGAGACCCGAAATGGTGAGGATGCAGGCCGAGTGTAACTTGCCTTACAAATTAACTTTGTTTGGTATTGATTACTTCATGCGTGCACGAGGTTTTTGGGCAGGTGGACACTTTTGGTGTCAAGTGGTACGTACGGTTGGAGGCCTTACCGGGGTATGGCACCACAACGATTTGCAGAATGCAGGTATTGCAACATTGAGCAGTCGGGACCTGGAAAGTATTGGTGGAGCTATGGCGAGTACAAGCTGGGCAATGTACTCCCGAGAACCTACGACTGACGAAGCCGTGATTATCGAGGCTGCCAATGCAAAGATCATGAAGACCAATGCTGATATCAATGGCGATATCCCGTTCTCTCAAACTATGAAGTCACGAAAGAACAAAGGCGAAGACGCTCTCACGGCGGCTGAGAAGGCGCTAGATGATTCAACTGCTTCAGACCAATCCGAAGCTGACCAAGATGTGAAAGCTGGTGAGTCATAACTTTCTTTTATTATTGCTATTGATTCTTCACATATCACATATCATTCAAGGGTCTTTCTCATCCGCCAAACCAGAGGCCGCCATGGAAAGTATGACACAAGAGGAAATCGATAACATTTTGATCTCAGACACCGATGAAGAGGAACAGCTGAGGAGGTCACAGTCTCGAAGTGAGCAACTCAGCTTTCTTGTGTCCTCATGGTTTTTCCTGACCATAGATGATTCGTGCTGTTTCCGAAGTAGGTAACACCAACAACCAAACTAAGGCCCTCAAAAAGAAAGACGCGATCAAGGATGGGGAGGAAGGAACAGCTGATGAAAGCAAGACCGGCGCGACATCCAGTCAACGACGAATAAAGAAAGGTTAGTGTTGACACCTTGCCTGTTACTTTTTTATGACATACTGATGGTCTTACCACCCATCACAGCCAAGGCCAAAGCACGTCGCAAGGCCAATTCAAAAGCACAGGATGCTTTAGCGGAGGGGATTACAGAAACCAAACCCGGTGAGTTTTTCACAATCATTTTCTTTTAGTTGTTGCTCGTGGCTCACATGCTTGTTACATGTTTGTTGTGCAACAGTTGTTCCGAAAAAAGGTTGGAAGGGTTGGGAGCTTGTGCCCATTGACCCTGCCGAAACGGGAGTCATTAGCCCAGAGTCGGCGGTTAGTGGTACTAGAAGGAAGTCTAAGCGTAGGAAAACTTAGAATTCAACATTGGTGATATCATTCCCTAGCTTTTGGGGAGATGTACAAAGTAAAAGAAAAAAAGACACAAAATAGTTTCAAGATATTTCCGTTTATATCAATTCAGTACCCTCCTCCACCTGCTTCCTCTTAATGGTTTAGATATTTCCGTCTATAATAATATCACATCTCCTCTTAGTTCCCCTTCTTAGTTCCTCTTCGTAATAGAAATACATTCTGTGTCGATCGATTGGACAAGACTTGTACCTTTCGGTGAAAGCAAACAAGACTTTGCTTGTACCTACAAACCAGGAGGTAGGGTTTGCGCGCGCCTTCCACCTAGCCCACCCAAATGGAGTGATCTCATGAGTATTGTAGAAGGAAAAAGCCAAATGTAATACACTCACGAGACATGTTTGGCAACGCTTGAGCACCTATGTTCCCAGGAATGCTTGGCCCTGGACTGGGCTCTTGACTGGCCACCGTGGCTATCGAAGGATTGGTTATCAGCCATCCTGTGTGAATGGCTGATAACTGATGAAATGATAAACTTACACGTCCCTTCTACAGTAAAAGAATGGAAGGACTCTTGAGTCATGTTTGGGCCTTCGTGATTGTTGGTTGAACCTTCACGACTGGTTGAACCTTCACGGCTGTTGTTGGTGTTGGACTCGTCATGAGTGGGCTCTGTGGCTCCTCCGCTACCCTCGGTGGCAGCTTGACTTGCCATTGAGGCTAATTGCAGGCGTCACGATTGGAATTCCGTTAGGTAAGGAGAGAGAGGAAGGCGCTTACCAGCAGCTTGCTCCTCGATGGCGTCAAGGAGATCGAGATCGTCAGAAGACAATGTGATTGGCGCTTCGATCGCTGTTTAATCATCGCAAGTAAGCCCCAGTCTAATGTTTCCAACGTAGGTAGGAGAGTTCATTCAACTGACCTTCTTCGAAAGCTTGGGCAGCTTGGGCAGCCTCGGCAGCTTGGGCAGCTTGGGCAGCTTGGGCAGCTTGGGCAGCTTGGGCAGCTTGGGCAGCTTGGGCAGCTTGGGCAGCGAGAGCAGCTTGGGCAGCTTGGGCAGCTTGGGTAGCGAGAGCAGCGTCGGTCATGCGTAACATGTCCACGGTGTAAGTCTTTCCATTGCTCGCTCGACGCCAAGTGTCGAAATGGGGTTGACGAGGGAACGGGTTGGTGCTGATGCATCCAGTGGTGATGCGACTGTGGCCGAGCTCGCCACAGCGAAAGCATTGGTCCAATCCGTCATGGATGCCTGGATGGGATCTTGCGGTGATGATCCAAGGAAAGATTTCGGACTTGGAGCGGGGTGATAAGCTGTTAAACCAGGCGAGCTCTTCAGGTGTGGGGTTTAACCACCACCTAGGACGGATTGCCATGATGTTGTTAATGTTTATGATGGAGGAGATGGGGATTGGATGTTCACTAAGGTAATGTGGAATGGAGAACGTTGATTAAGAACGACTTGGAATGATCTGAAGGAGTCTTCTCGAACAAGTCTTCCCGTTAGGATATTGTGTCTTAATGATATCATAACGTTCTTGATATCCTAAGTCCAACTCCTTTGACTTTTGGTTTGGTCATATTATGCTCGGAATAAGAGCTGTAAAATTCAATATTACCCTCGTGAGAAATATATTTGCAGACACCCTTTTTTACGGAACAAAACGTCTGTGATGGATGCTCTGCAAATTTGCATAATAAAGGCACTTTATTGACTTTTACGCATCTTTTTTCCTTACAGACATTAACGTCTGCAAAAACTTCGAAATAAGAATCGCAAAATTCGACTTTGGACACCCACCGCAGAATTTTGCAGTCGATATCATACATCCATTTTCCCTTGCGATCATTCCTCCTTTGAGAATGTCTGTAAAAATCAACTTTCTCCGGGAGAAAGTTGATTTTTACAGACATCACGATTTACAGACATTATTGTCTGTAAATCGTAGTCTGTAAAAATCTCGGGCCCCATATTTTACTTGGTCCCCTCATGACAATTACCGTTGCAGTTATGTTCTTCGAATATAGCCTCCACAGACTTCTACTGTTGCTGCAAATCGTCAGCCAGCTCTGCGGAGGCTCTGCGACATTGGCACTTCTGATGTTACATTGATCTTTGATATTGGTACCGAAACGATGTCGTCCCATTGAGGTTCACTGAGCCGTGATGGCCCGCGGTTTGAGGTACCCTGTCCGGGGTATGCACCGTGTACATAGCGTTACGTTGAAACTGAGACCCTGACGTAATGAAGCTCCATCAAAACAAATCAAAGTTCTGTAATACCGCAAAGCCTCTGCGTCAACGAGATGGCACGTCCACAAGCTCAAAATGTACCACTGGATGGTGACTATCTTCCGTTGCGGTTAACAGGGATATTTTGGGTTCTCAATTCCGTAAGTTGTAGTCATAGCATTTTAACTTTGGTTGACATTCTATCCTAGGTCGACGTCCCATCACAGGTAGTACTGGGTTGACGTGTGTACGCGAGTCAATGCGTGGCCACAAATGCCAACTTTGATACTCTCGATTTGACAATTATGGAGAACGGTAGCCATTCAATTATCATTTCTGATAGCGCTTTTTTAATGACCGGAGTATTAATTCAAGGGAGTATCCGAAGGGCTGTGAAATTTTGTAGCGGCTACTGCTACTCACTACTTTTCGGCTACTTACAAATCGCAGCCATCCCAATCTGGAAATGAGTGACATGTATCACACGACACTGACGAAAAGAGATTTACTCATCTGCTTGCGTCGTCGACGAGGCTCATCCGGCGATCCCACCCACCTGACCTTCCGAATGGCATTTAAAACGGCGTGCTCATCCTCCGTTCCGGTCACATTTCATCAAGGAAGACCGATTGGCCAACATCTCACCTCCAACACCACACATCAGTGACAATGAAAGAGGCCTCACGGGAATAAGTACGTCCAATGTAGATATTTCAACCCACGCGCAGATATTATTAAAGAACAAACAATAAATTAACGACGCACATCCCCTCCCGTATCATTAAATCGATCATTATTTCTGATCATGGCGACCCCAAACTTGAAACCTCTGGACCCGTCGAAGCCACTGCCTCCGATTAATATCAGTCGAAAACGTCAACTTACTGGCGTGATTTGTGAATCACCTAATTGTACTAGCAAGACACCTCACTCCACGACTTACTACAAACCCAAGAACCAGCCTAACAGACCATTGATTGGCATTAGTGTAAGATATGACAACATCACGTGTGGCGGACCCAACCAAGTGAGTTACTAATCAAATCGAATTTATTTTGCAGTGTCCTTTTGGAGGCTACTGTCGAACATATATTCGCGCCATTTATCACGAAGCCCTCATCAAACACAACCAACAATTCATTCGGCAACAGAAACGGAAGCGCGATCAAACAGATCAGGACTACGTGTTTGCAATGGAATTGCAAAATCTGCTGAACCAACAGGCCGACGCCGACGACGCTTTCCCTCACTTCAACTCGCAATACCCTCCATCAGCCAATGATGCACCACGCGAGCAACCGCGCTCGCCCGTCACTCCAACGCCTTACCCAAACGCTGCTCGAATCACGGGACAACCTCAAGTCAGTCGAAACCAGGCCGGCACAAGTTTAATTACCGGAGGACAGTGCGGTGGGGTCGATGGAAGCACCGCTAGCGGTCACTTGAATCGGAGAAACAACGCATGTAACGCCAAGGCATGCTTCGACGTGAGCAGTTTACTTCCTCAATTCTTCATATCACATGCCTTACTGAAAATTTTGTATTTATCCAGTGCTGTGTGAAGCTGAATCCGAATACTCACCTGTGTGTACCACACTCCGCCCAGGCCAAAGCCAAGAACAAGGCCAAACCACCCAAACCGGCAGCAGTAAAATCCACAGTCACAACTACCATAGATTTAACTTTGACCCCGACACCACCTCAACCTCCTGCGTCGAACAATGTTCACTTCGCCATACCAGCCACCCAGGGGGGTGGTAATACGTACAGGCGTCAATGCGACCAGGCCTACGCTTTTCGTACCCTTGCCATCAAGCACCAAGCGGACGAGCGTAGACAGAACGAAGAAATAGAAAAGGCCAACAACACCGTTACCATTGTGGTGTGGGGCGCATCCAATGTTAGTTGGTTGTGATTCCTATTATCCTAATACATGGTATCAAATATATATGTATTATTACTTTACTCACATGAGAATTATAAACAGAACCACGGGGGAACATCCATCGAGAGCGAAATTTGGCGAGAATATATACCCAGCTGGCCCCGATTTCAACTCGACCAATCACAGGACCTAACGGAAATGGTACAGCGAGAGTTAGGCGTAATATCCAATCAGCGATTGAAAGTGTGGAGTGATGCGGAACAACATTGGGTAAGTGAAATTAAAATTAAGGATATTAAAATTAAGTGGATACAAAACGTGTTGGATTGGCTCACCACACAACCACATCCTGTTACCTTGTAGATTGGCCTACGGTTATCAATTCTGGAGACCTACCCAGAGGATTGCCGACGAATCCTTATCATGTTTCCCTCTCTCCAAGAGAGCCAATGCAAGGGTCTCGATCAACAACTCGCACTTGTGAACATTGCGTTGCACAAACCGGATATCCGTCTAGACACCTTAGGGCATTCCGATCCGGGCTGCCCTCCGATCATTGAGTTATTGACCGAAAGTACTGCACCAGAAGCAACTACACCTCCAACATCGCCTATACGCAACCGATCATATTCATCAAGCGCCACACCCGAATTACCAACCGAAGGACCCCCTTCACCTCCACCTCTAGCAGATCGCGCCGACAATACTCCCAATGTCAACCCATCAGAACATGCTGAAACAATAGGCACAAAGACCCCAAAGTGGCCCACCAACGTCAGCATGCAGCGGATGCTCAAATTTCTTGAACTCACTACCGGAGACTATAAGATCAGCATTCCCTCCGCCTGGAATCAATTGTTTGGCGGCGAAGGAATGACTTATGTACCGTCAACTGCTTCCCTTTATCGCCGGTGGATGGACAACTGCAAGAGACACGAACTTGTCGCGTTTGTTTCAGCACACCCCAAAAGCGTTGTACAAGATGGGTTGAACCAATTCGATCATGTTTGGAAGCAAATTAGGAAAGAAGTCGCTGCCAAGAAAGCTGAGGCTGCTAAAGCAGCGGAATCAGGTGATAAAGCAGGTGAATCTGGACCTGGTAAAGCAAGCGCAGTTAAACACAAATCTAAGAGACCTAAATTGGTTACATGAAGTTTATATTTTGTTTGTTTCATTTCTTGTTTTCTTTGTTCTGACTCACCACTTGTATATATATCAAAAGGATTGTAAATTTATGATGTTTGCAATACATCATACTTTATATATAACGGCACCGATTCATTGAGAAGACATACACACTTGAGGCAGCGAGTACTATTCAAAATATACACATATTCAGTGAGATGAATGACACACACATTTTGATAAATAATTAAAATACGTAACGAAATAAATGAAAAAAACAATAATCATAGAGTTAATCGGGCCAAGCCCATCTCTTTGCATATTTGGTCACATTGATGTCCTCCTCTAAAATCAAAAAAAGGCATATCCATTCTATCACTATTTTCCAAGTAGTACGATCTAACAAAATGCATAATGATTAGACACCAGATGTGAGTTTATACGTGCCAAATAAGATGTTAACAAATTGCTTACGCTTTATTGAAACATAATACATTAGAGATACTACCCCATTGGTCACAGTCTATTTGACCGATCAAAGTCACTCCGCCACTATGTTGGTAGGCATAATGAATGAATGCAAATAACAACGCCTTCCAAGGATCAGACTTGGGCAACGTGTCCCTGAAGCACGACTGATAAACATAACGTGTTCTGACAGATTCAGGTTTAACTTCCACCAACATCCATCGGGGAACATCATCGTCGAGAGAGCCAATAGTTTGCAAACATGAGACGCGCGGCACCTGTTCACCCAGCACATGGCGAATGTTAATAAGTTACCAGAGAAAAAATCAAACATAGGCACTTACGTGTAACGCAGCCGCACGTATGAACCATTCGCGGAACTGTTGGGCTAAGTAACCCTCAGGCAGGCATTCCTCCTTCCACATTTGGTGTAACCGCGCTTTGAACAATTTTAACATGCTCGCAACATAAATATGAGCATTGACAAGCTCAAGGGCTCTTTCCCTGCCGGAAGTAGCCGAATAAGACCAAGAAAAGTGAAACCTAGCTACACTGGCGTACGGAATCTCAACACCGTCGCCTTGTAATTCACGCGCTTGCCATTCGTTGACGTCTCTGGATTTTGAAAAGTCAACTATATTACCTAGTTGAAATAAAACAACTGCCTCAGATAGAGCAGTGCAGTTAGTCGGTTCGTATGTTGGATTGGATCCTTCGCCGTAAAAGTATTTCATGTGGTAAAGGAACGCGGCACGTTTTGATGGTAAGTCCGGTCGCAAGGTGCAAGTGCGGATGGGATTAGATACTAATATTATAAAGCCAGGTCCTAAAGCAACTGAGGCCATGACGTAGGAACAATGACATTGTTATTTAATACTAGTACTAATAAATAAAACTTGTCCCACTCACCTTCAGAGTTGCTGTGTCTCACAGCACGCGGGGCCCTCGCCTTGTAAGAAGTTCGACCAGAACGTACAATGGTTTCAGACTGTGTGTCGTTATTCTCGTCTTGATTATCGGTTCCCCCAAGTACCTCAGGTGTTTTATCCGCGCCAACACATACTCCACTGGCATGTTGGCTGGGGTCTTTACATGATTCAATAATTGGAGTGGAAGATGTGGGTGAAGTTGGAGGTTCCGTTATGTCAGGCGTTGAGGTTATAGCATCTGATAAAGTAGTAAGATGTTCTGATCCTTGGTTGCGCGAAGGCATAATGCTTAACACGAGTTATGAGTTATTGCTGTCAGGAACGAAATATTAGCAGCACATCTGATACAAATGTATATATATTGTGTGGCTTGTATCTTCACTCACGTTGTGTGTGTCCTTTGTGAAGTATGATGATATCTTACAAAATAGATAGACAAACGTAACATCAATGATTCATTATCATTAATGTGTTGGTTCATTAGTTACCCATTATTGATAAACAAATGTGGTTTCGCAAATGACCAATATAATGATACTTCATCACTGGGAAATAGGATCTTTCATGGTGAATAACATCATTAGGTGTTACCGATCACATCCGATCACATCCAATCACCTCCAAAATGCTGAGATATTTTCGGCTGGAAATTGTTAATTTCGCTGTACTCAGTGTTTTAGACAAAACCAGATAATCAATTCCTCGCTTCAATAAAACCAATTGGAAGACATAGACTAACAACATAAACAAATGGCCGTATCAATCACGCTGGATGATATATATATATAAATAAATAGCTGAACAAATACATGTAATTTATATTGATCTCTATCACGCTTATTTGAGAAACAACTTCTTCAGACGAATCATGTATATAGATAAGAAGATAATATTTTAATATCCAATAACCAGGGCATGTCGCAAGGCCACCTATAAATTTCGGAAACAACTGCTTCAGACACTTCATGTATATAGTAATAAGTTAATATTTAAATATCCAAGATCCACGAAGTGTGGACCACCTATAAAGGTAAACACCTCATTCAGACAATTCATGTATATATAGTAATAAAGTAACATTTGACTTTCCAATTACAACCACGGCATGTGGTCCTCCTATAAAGGCCATCTATAAATGTATATATGGCCGTCAAAATTTAAATGGTAAATTTCACCACAGGCGTTCTTCATATACCATTTCGCGTAAATTACGCTACATGATGTTAGCGTAACCATGAGATTGAGGCTCATGGTAATATCCCAATATATCTTCATCCACCTACGGGAAAAACGAATTATTATCAATTGACATGGCCAATATTCGCAAATTAAAGATGTTGCGTTAATCAAAATTACACTCACAATCACGCATTCGAGTTTATGGTTATCATCAATAAATGTAGGTTTTGTAGCAATTCCAATAACACTCGAAGACGCGGTGGCGCTGGCATTTGATAGTGCCTCATGATTCATTGGCATGACTTTGTGACTACAACCCTGTTCGACCGGTTGTTCTGTGCGAAGAGATATTAAAGTACATTATCAATATATAGATTATACTTGTTAGGGCAAATTTTACCGTACGTACCAATAATTACGCTACTTTCATTTCCACCATGGGGAGACAAACTGACATTGGTAGAGAAAGAAGAACCGACTGGTTGGGTACTGAGTACCTGATCCTCAACGTCTGAAGGCCCTTGAGAAGTCAACTCAGACTTCTCTTGGGAAACGACCGGGGATGGTATGAAATTAACTAAAAAAATGTGTTAGATAGATATTGTTTTAGTTAATTTCATCTCTTATTGCTACAACGGAACTCACCGCGTTTTTCAATTGAATCCAGGAGCTCCAAATCCTCGGGTGTCAAGTCAAATTCGGCCATGCTATCTTCATCTTCGTCTACAATATGACGCTTTAAATTAGGGCAGTTCAAGTCCAAAGTCGCGGACAATGCGCCGCGCTTGAGCAAACACAAATTTTAGGTGTGTTCGCGCCTGTCTTTTTGCGTTCGCAGAGTGGCAGAGGCCGTAAAATGTGGTTTTACGGCCTTGTAAAATCAGGTACAACCTTGGAAAAACCTCCATGTGTTCCTGATTTGACATCCTCGATCACCTCGTTAGTGCGTTTGCCAAGTGCTTTTTTTCCAAACATGTTTTTTTTGGAGACACTTGGTAAATCGTTCTGACGTCCTCTGTCTAACTGATATCCACCTCGCATCAAACATACCCACCTCTTTCACACGTCAAGTCTTCTGCGTTCCTCCTGCTCATTTTCCTCACCATGCCTCGAGTATCTGACCGAGTGACCGCCATACGAGATCTGACCACCTTGTGTTTGTTCGCTCATATGAATGCGGCGACAGACACGCCGGGACATGAAGACCGCCAACTAGACCCTAGTGATGGAAGGTTTTATTTTCCATCTGACAACTTGATGGCGACCTTGTATGACGAGCTTTTTGACGACGAGTTGCAGTGGGGTGATATGCTGTCTACTATCATCTCCAGGCGTTATCTCCAGCCTTGATTTCGAGTCCAACTGGCCAACCCATTCGACCTGCGCGATATGTTGCATACCAGAAGGACAGACTTTCGTCAGGCCATGCGAACAACCCCAGAAGGATTCCTCGCGCTTTTGAATTTGATACATCAAGATCCTGTCTTTCAATGTAATACCCACAATCCTCAACCTCCGGTGATACAGCAACTCGCGATGACACTTGAACGTCTAGGAAGCAACGGTAATGGCGCCTCTGTCGGACGTTTTGCGAGAAACTACAAAGTAGGACGTGGCTCGGTGGTCAACTGCACCCGCAGGGTTATATCCGCCATTCTCAACGCGGGCGATCACTATGTTTCATGGCCCAAATCGGATCGACGCAAAGCGATTTCCAAGGTCCTTGAACGCGACGGATTCCCCGGGTGTGTGGGATTTGTGGATGGCACTACTATCCCCCTCTTCCAGCGACCGGGACGTGATGGCGAGGTGTTTTTTGATCGAAAGCACCGTTACTCCATCAATGTTCAGATTATATGTGATTGCGACAGGAGAATAACTTATGTTTATGGGGGATGGCCGGGTTCGTGCTGTGATAGTACGGTTTATGGCAAAACAGATGTTTCAAACAATCAACATAAATATTTTGACAAAGGTCAGTCACCTCTTTCTCACTTTGAGCTGTTTGTTCAAATCGATCGACTGAAACCTCGTGTCCTTACATAGGGGAATACATAATAGCGGACTCCGCATATCTTCCTTCGGAAACTGTTGTGCCATCATACAAAGGCCAGGCAGCGTACGTTGAGCGCAACAGGCAGTTTAACTGGTGTGTTGCGAAGGCTCGCGTCCGCAACGAGCATTGCATCGGTATCCTGAAGGCTCGGTGGGCGTCTCTTCAAGGGCTACGTTTGGCTCTCAATCGGCGAGAAGATATGGTCCATATCTTGCGATGGGTACGCTGTTGCATCATACTCCACAACATGTTGGCAGGACTCGGCAATGCATGGGAGGATGAGCCGGATGATCTGATCTTGGCAGACAGAGGTGAAGCCGGCCTAGAAAGCAATCGCGAGGCGGTTTCAGATTTGGGTATGATGGAACGTGGTAGATCTAAAAGGGAGGCTGTGCGAGATCACGCCGTAGCGTACAACTGGGAATCGGGCGGCCTCCCAATTGTGCAATGAGGTTTTATTCATTCGAGAGGTTCAATTGGTTTTGTTTTCTTGGCCTTGTTTTTTCTCTTCTTTTTGAAATCTTCTTTCTTTCTTTCGTTATTTGCCGTGTCTTCCCTTTGGTTATGTGAGTGATCGGTTCGGTGTTTGTTTTTCTCTTCCTCCTCTTTGTTTCGTGTTTCTAATCTTTCTTGCCATTATAAGTCTGTCTAGTACCTTGCAATGAATGGGCTATGTACTCTCACTTTGTTTACTCTCATGCGAGGTGCTTGATCATTGGATTTTGAAATGTCACACTCACGCTTTTTAGATGATTATAAAAAGAAACAACTAATACTATTTTCATACTAATTTCTTAAGTCACGTGTGTTGGAAACAAAAGGAAACAAACAAACACCATGAGAGACACAATCAATTTCATACTAATTTCTTAAGTCACGTGTGTTGGAAACAAAAGGAAACAGGTGTGTTGGAAACAAAAGGAAACAAACAGACACCATGAGAGACACATTCAATTTCATACTAATTTCTTAAGTCACGTGTGTTGGAAACAAAAGCAAACAGACAGACACCATGAGAGACACATTCAATTTCATATCTTAAGGAGACACATATTGGCGATTTGGTGAAAGAAAGCAATTTGGTGCAAGAAAACATATAAGAAGGCAACAAAGGATATGAAGGTAATAAATCGTGAAATACATATACTTCATAAAAGTAAAATTATAACGAAGACGACTGAACTTGATGACCGGGATAACTTAACATGACCGGGATAACTTAACAAACGTTGAACTGGTCTGTGAGATCAAACGAGTTGGGAATCAGCAAAGAATGGCCAAAACGACGACTCAGAAAGGATTGCACCATCACTTACCATTGGCCCTCGTCGGGATATACGAGACGCAGATAGGCCTCCAGCTCTTGGGGGCTCTTTCCCTCAAGTACTAGCTTTTCACAAAAAGCTTTGCGTTCCTTGCGTGCCACAATTGCGAGTCGATTGCGCTCCTCCTCTCTTTCCAAAAAGAATTTCTCTTTCGCCCAACTTAGGTCGGATTTCCGCGCTTCAACCTCCGCGTTCTGTTTGGCAGCGTCAAACTCTTGGCGCCACTCATTCGCAGCTCGAAGCATTTCGATTTTAGCGGCATTACCCTGTTGCATCGCCGTAGCCACAGGATGTTTCAATTCCTTGCCACGCACTGTCGAAGGGTCAATTGACGGGAGTGGGTCCACAGGTCGGCGCGCGAGAGTTGAACGATTAGCAGCGCGGACTTTTGGCAAAGTGTCGTCATCTTCAGAGGAGGAATCCAAAGCGCGTTCTTCGGCTGTCAAAGTGTCCTTTTTGGAAGCCTTGCGTTTCGAGGTCTTGCAAGGAGGGGCACGCGAGTGCTTGATGATCATATTGGAAACTAACTCGGGCGCTTCGGTGGTGGCCATCGGCAGTTTAGGGGTCGGTGGTGGAGAGTGAATATCATTGTCCAGAAAACGGCGATAGTGCGAGTTGAGAAGTTGTTCTGGTGTCGGAACATCATTGGATGGTTGAACTGGACCATCTTGGGACGGCGGTACTTGCGATTCGAATAACTCCTGATAGGCCTCGAGCTCTTCAGCGTCCGGACTAGAGAAACGTGGACGGCCAGCCAAAATGGTTTGCTTGGAGATCGGTTGTGTGGCCATAATCTTGGGATTACCTTTGTTGGACGTCGAAAGGAACATTGAATCAATGTTCAAGCAAAGGGGCCAGGGAGAGTGCTAAAGACTTACTACGATTGGCCATGAGCGAGTGATCATGGCCATCGGTGGTACTGCCACCATCACTCTCCACACCATGGATGTCGAGATTGTTGGTGAGTTCCTCGTTCTCGTCCTCGTTGGCCGATGAGACCCCTTCGGAAATGCCTGTCTCGAGAATGCCAAAGGGATTGATGTTCCCTTTGTCACGAAACAAAATGTCCATGTCTTCAAAGCATGGGCACATGGATTCTAAAAGGTCATGCATGTTGTGAATACCGTCCGCAACGTTCTTCGCGGACAATCCACTCCCCGTCTTCAAACTGAAAGCTTTGGTCTTGCTGTATTTCGACTTGAAACGTTTCAACCGTTGATGTAAAACTCGGCCATTCAGTCGCATGTCTGTCGAATTGTTGCGAATGTTATAATTGTTGTTCAGTTTGATCGCGAGCGAATTTAAAATAGTCTGTGGATTCATCGGCAGTCCAGATACCCTAGTCTGGCTTCCCCCTCCAAAAAGAGCATTACAGATATTCGGTCGACCAAGGTATGCAACAATCGTTTGGTAATCCACTAGTTGGAACGCCGGACTATCTCGAGTTTGTTTCGCTGAGGCCACCTCTGATGCGGCGCGTGCGCGTTTTTGGGCAGCCAGTCGGGATCTTTTCACGGCTGAAGGCGTTGCTCGATTGGAAGAGGGTATTCCTGAGGCCAACAAGTCCTCCTCGATTTGTGCCCTAGTGCGACGGGTTCTGCGGGGAGCCTATTGAAAACAAAAGTCAGTCGTATGTTAAGTTTCTGCAAACATCAATAACATCACGAAGTGCTACACAGAATCACTGACCTTGCCTGTGGCATCCATCGTAGTTGGCATGTAGATAAGAGATGAATATTGTTTCAGGAAGAGTTGAGATATAAGAGGTATGTATGGTCAAAAGTCGAATCAATCAAAATCAAAATGAATGAAACCAAGATGCCGGATAAAGAGAAAGGGGTGGATGATATGAAACCAAGAAGCCGGATAAAGAGAAAGCGGTGGATGATTGATCGAGGACCTAAATGGAATCACACCGGTGTTTTCTTGGATCACAAAAGCCACAGGTCGGGCGTGATTTATATCAAACCGAACGTCCAACTACCTGGGGGTCGTTTGTAGTTCCAAGACCAAAGAGTCCAAACGCAGGGCGTGCTGATGATAGGTCCGCGTCGGAGGGCCTGGGGTTGTAATGCGGAAGTCCTGATATGGTTGATATCGTAAATGAAGAACCTGTGAGATCAGTTGGTGATCGGTGAGATGACGAATATCTGGAGCTGATTGTCGATATGAGGATGATATCGAAGGGGAAGCGGGATGGGTACGTACGACAAACCCTCAGAGGTTAAGTCCCCCTAACCTTCTTTCGCGAGTCCCCCTAACCTTTTTTTCGCGTGGTAATGAAAGAGGCATGCAGAAAAAAAACTTGATCCTTGTTTTGCTTCCGAAACGGCCGTTGACATCAAGGAACACAAACAAAAAAAAAAACTTTCAAACAAGAAAGAAAAAAAACCTTGCTTTTTTATTTAGCCCAAAGGATGTAAAAAATTTACGACCAAATAAGCGCTCGCAAGTTGGTGAACCAGCTCTAGAGCTGGTTCGCAAAAGTTAAAAATATACATAAAATTTTAAGGGACCGAGCAGCCCATAAAAAATAAGTCAAGGCTGTAAAGGCCCGTCTTGAACTGCCCTTTTATTAAAGAAGGTCGTTGTGCAACGGCTCTGAGAGTGAAATGTCCTTACCTGGATTTGCGTCTGCAAGACTTGCACGCGCAAGGTCCTCAGGTTTCATGTTGAGCTTGTCCTTGCTGTAAGACAAGCCATTAACCGTTCGACGCCAATCTTTGAAAAGAGCACCGCCCGCCTTCACACGGCTAGTGCAAGGCTTCCCATTCATTCGACTGTGTCCAAACTTATTGCAAGTGTAGCACTGCTCTATGCCGGCTCTAACACATGGGTGGTGACGTTCGGACATGGGGAAAGGAAAAACCTCCGACTTGGAGCGGGCATCTAGAGATCTGAACCAAGCAAGGTCGGCTGGGGTTGGACGATTTTTTATGTTGCGAATAGCAGGCATTAAGTCAGAGCAATTTAGTTAGTTAGTGAGAAAAGGTAGAGGCGAAAATGTGACTATTCGAATGTCAGGATGAAGGATAATGGGAATGGCAGACAAGTTGATGATCTAGAATCGCCGGCATCCATATATATATATATATGACGGCGACGCGTAATGATTAGTTCATTACGCGTCGCATCACTAACAAACAGGTAGGCGTGTTTGTTTGTTATTCACTTGCTCCAGACTCTGGAAGCATATCCAAGCTCAGCAACATTAGATAACTCAAGCAGGTGACTGATATTCGTACATAAGTGCATAAATACGAGATATATCTGGTGTATTCTTTGGATGGAAGCCATCCAAACATGTGGACACGGTGAAAGGGCTAACGTGTCCACATGATGTATGTAGATGTGGAATTGTCAATCATGGATATAGGATAACTTTCCTTTCAACCTTTAGGGTAGAATAAAGGCAATGGAAAACCTTACCGTATACCGGCGCGTCTTTTCTTTTATTTATATTGTAGATCGGTTCACTTCAAAACATTGATTTGAACCGAATTAGTTCTACGACATATACACATAAATTTAAAATCACTGCTGATGATGTAAGAAATTACTTGAACTAAAACTTCATGACCACGGAACGCGAAAGAATTAAAGTATATACATGGTTGAGGGTTGAGTCTATATATATCGACGACACATATCACGGTTACAACAATTCAAAAAGGAACGTTACCAAGCATCTCACAAATCTTATTGCAAACATGCTGCTCTTCAAAAAGCTTGAATTGGCGATCGATCAAAGTTGCCAGTTTCGGATCATCACGGCCGTGATATGGAGGGCTGCTATTATATGATATCAGACGCGTAAGTGGGGAGTGAACTTTTGAATACAGTAAGTGAAAGACCGAGATCGTAGATACACACTTTCTAACATAGCATAACAAGTTACTGATCTGCCCGTGTTCATCACAGTCCAGACTGGAAATCAAAGTCTGATTATTGCTCAGGTTGTAAGTATAGTGAAGGAATGCGTTGATAAGTTTGGTCCAAGTATTAGGTTCCGATGGAGGATTATGGAAGTTGTCCTCATACACAAAAGAGTGAGACTTATCGGTAGCGCTCTCGCATATCATCCAACGAGGGTCATTTTCATACTGCGACCCTGCTGACTGCAATACATGGCATGTCTGAACCTAAATAACAAGCAAATAAATACGTCAATCTCTGTTTTGCCTGATATAATCAGGCTTTAATCAGGCTTTCATATATATAACAAGAAACTCTCACCGCCATAGCACACGCGTAGGAATACCATTTTTGGTATTTCGGAATAACCTTTCCTGTACCTTTTTTGCGTTTTACGAATATCATGTATTTAAAAGATTTCAAAGCCATGGCAACGTGGCGATTGCTTTCCGCAAGAGCGAAACATTCAGGACGACCTTGTGAAGGCAAGTCAACCCACGACTTGTGGAATTTAATGAAATGAAATCCCCTGATTAAGCCACGTATTTCTTTGTGACTGAAGTATATTCGGCGTACGATCCAATCATCGTTCATTTTATCATCTACCTCATGGTAACACTTGAATACGACACGGTCTTCTAATACAATTACGTCCTCCTTTTGATCGTAAGTTTCTGTGTTTCGAAAGCCTTTTGGCTTTAATCGATAAAGTGTTCCTTCCTCTTTTCTCCCGAGGTCTTCCAAATCTTCGTAATACGGAACTGCCTCAATGGTTTGATCAGATACAGTGCCGGGTAAGGCGAGATATTGGCTATCTGTTACTGGCCAAGTATGATAAGTAACTTTCGGATGTTTGAATCAGAACAATCAAACTCGGTGTCTAAAACACATACCTGAAGAGTCCGTGAGGGTTAAGGGCTGCGAGTTAATGTGATCTTCCGGAAGGTGATGAGCAACTTCGTGTAAAATATTAGTGCCAATGGTGCTGTTAATTTCTAACGGGGTAGACATTGCTAATATAACAATATTCAATATTTATTGCTAAAGGATAAATAATCAATCTTTAACGTCTGACTGTACTAGTTATATGAGATCGTGGTGTTCTAATATAACAAAATGATAATCGAGGAGGATGAGGCTATATACGGCGGATTATTCCAAAATATGAAATATATTATTACACTTTATATGAGGAACATCCAAAATTATAGTCACGGGGTCACGAATATTTTATTAATAATTTATAAAGTTGTCATCGTGCTCCTTGCCCGTGTACTCGATATCAGTGATATCATTGATCCAAGGAACCATCCTTACATGCGCGGTTTTGTGATTTGCTGAGTTATTCCCATGGGTGATTTGTAGCAAGACTGAGCTGAGCAAATGGAAAGCGTGTGATACCTTTTTAGTCGCGATCAAACAACTATTGCCTCATGACTCGCAAAGTTCAACTTTTGGAGATCGCAATTATACCAATTATACCACTTACGTGTGGTTTAGGAAAATTTTACAATATATGCTTACATCACGTTTAAATCAAAACCGAAAAAATCCAATCGGGAGGCTGCATTACTCCTCATTGAGCTGGAGTCAATGATGATTAATTATTTGATTAATGGAGAAAGATGCCAAATACAATAATGGAAAAGTAGTACATTAAAAATGTATACAACGTATTTCACACAAGAAAAGTGATAATAAATAATAAATTTATACGGTAATAATGTGACAACAAGGTAATAAAAATTATAATTGATAATAAATAACTACTGATGAATAATACATCAGGATGCATATATTTATTATTAAAAAAAGATTTATTATTATTCATCATGGCGTGAAGGAGGCTAGGGCTAGGCGAGTACCAACACACGGTGTCAGTTGGTCCCCAGGGGGGAAGTTGAGTACTCAGTGTTGCCTATGAAGGTTACATTGCTCCTACGGGCAAGGTTCTCTGCAAGGCGGCTGTTGTGCAGGAGTATCATTTCTTCCAAAAAGAATTCATACTTAACTTGGTGCATATTGCGACACATGGGATCGAACCGTCCAAACCACGAGTTCACCATTTCCGCCGCTGAGGAATTGAATCGCCAACTGCCGTCGGGACGTTTTAAGTCCGGAAATAGGTGAGGGTCGTTGTTGATTCTGCACGTTCTGTGTGATTCCTTATGGGATTTGATGTGAAAAGCGTCCACCGGCAAAAGTGTGTTGCGGAAATGGTAGGCGTCTTCGGGGTTGGCTCGAATATGCGAGTAAAGACCGCATGCGTTATCGTAGAAAATGACTTGAGGCATTTCTTTAGGGAATACCTCTTTGATCCATTCCTGTCAATCAAAACGCATAATTTGTTAGTGATCAATTTGTCAAATTTTTGACTGTCAATTATTCACTTGCCTTTACTTTAGTGACAGATTCAGATTTATAGAAGGTCTTGCGAGCTATTATAATGCCACAGGGTGATACCATCAACTGTTCGTTGTGTGTTCGACATCGCGATATCAATACTTTCTTTGGAGGTTTTGACGTTCCGCCATCGCGCGCCCCCTCATGTTCGCGCTCCTGTACTTCAGCATATAGCAGTTCTTCTTCACTGAGTGCGACTTCTCCTGTTTCGGCATCAAGCAATACACTTGGGTCAAGCTGTAGGTGGGTGTTTGGCCGGTTGAATCGTCGTGGTAATCCAAACATTGAAGTGTTACGCTCTAAATAAGTCGCGTGGGCTGCAATATGTTCTGGGTTCGCACAGGTTTTGGTGCCTTCAACAATTTGATTGAGGCATGGCTGAGCTGGACATATATTTCGCAGGGCCAGGTGATGCACAGGGCAGTAACGGTGGGTGACTTTGTCGAGAGGGTTTTCGCAGTGTGTCTGAGTTGTGTGTGGGTCTAGGCTTTTGAGCTGTGTTTCCGATGCGCTGCAGCTCCAGTAGCCAATCGTTATGCCATCGGTAACGGCGGCATGCATGACTGCACAAAGATTGTGATTTTATTAGATTTCATGTAACTTATTGTTTCATAAATAGGTATCTTACCGGACTGTTTGTCACTATTTGGAATTGGTTCAACCTCGGTGCAAATAGAACACACATGACCTGCAAACTTGCTGCCTTCAAGTTTGAGCCACGCGCTGTGTTCTTTCATGGCAGCGTAAAATCGTCGCTTGTCTGTGCCAGAAGCGTTGCTCTTCAACCTTACGCCTCGTTCGTTGGTGCGCTTCATGAGGCGATGAATGTCGAGGCCCAATGACGTCACATTGGTGCTGAGCTTACGCGTGTACCGAGGATTGCGAAAGTTGTTGGTGGGAGGATGGGCTGGGGAAAGTGGAGCGTGCGCTTGGTTATACGTGGCGACCAGGTTGTATATTGACACTCTATGAGGTTGTGCGGTCAGTTGGTTTTTACTTATACTGAAATCAATATTGTCATTTGATTGCACTTACATGCCGTACATTTGGAGATGGTTAAAATGATCGGCCAGACGGTGTGTCATGAAATAATGCTGCGTGACTTGGAACACGTCCCGCGGCTGTCCTTCCTTGGGGGTGTAGTACTCTCGAATGTCGTCTTTGCGAGTATAGCAAGGAGTGTATGTTTTATTGCAGCCTGTGTCGTCGGGATAATGGTTTGCGTACCATTGTCAGTTATACGTTCAAATGTTTCAAGTGTCTTACTTACGTCGACAATAACCAGAAAAAGACTGCATGGTCTCGATTCCTCCTATGTCAAATAAGTAACCTGACACTCGGGGTCTTCGCATAAGAGGTATGGGTTTCCCCCGCTTTTTGCTCTTGCATGTTAGACAGTGCGTATTGGGTGGGCGGAATACATTTTCCGGAATTATTAGGGCGTTTTTGGGGCGCTTAGAGTTGGGTGTGGGAATGCCGTGTTGGCTGATTAGTGATGGATCATATAAACAAGATTTGAGATCAGGATATGTTAGGATCCATAGTCGAGCCCATGTGGATTGCGGTCCAGCTGGGCCAAGGCATTGCTCCAGGAATTCAGCCGGTCCTGCTGAGCGAGAGAAGCGGTAACCTGCACCGCTGTGAGTTCGGTTCAGAAGGTCTGCTGAGAGTGTGGCGAACTTGGTGAGTTGGTCTAATGTAAGTGTTTTGAATGTAGTGGGATAGAAGGTTGTGAGGTTGTGTATGAAGTCTTTAAGCAACATATTGTAATATTTGAAACGTAACGGTTGTTGAAGATGGGTAAAGAATGCGATCAACGGATATAATAATACGATATCAACGTATACAAGTTCAATTAATGATGGATTATGCGTAGGTATATTTTGATTGTGCGTTTGCGTTTATATAGATGTTTTCTGCTCATTTTACACTGACGCACAATCGACATAAGTAGCAGCTTGATTCTTCATTGCTACTTCTGCCCACTTGGTGTCTGGGGTATGTGCCGCATTGGATGTTTGTTTTGCATATAAAATTGATAAGTGGTCCGGAATGGTCAGCTTGTTGAATGCTTCATGTTTGCTGATTGCTCGTCCTCACTCAAATGGTCTTGGGTGGAGGGAAACTTGTATCTTCAATGGCTATGTGCGCTTCATCAAAAAGTTCGCACTCCCTTAAATCTTTGATAAGAAGCTGATCTCAAGTTTGGAATTGAGTCGGATGGTCAATTTGGGTATTCCATGTTGCCTCCGATGTAACGGGTAATGCATATGGCAATTGGTAATCACGGCGGTGATTCTAACGAATATGACGTTAACGGCGATGAGTGCCGAGGTAAGCTCGGCACAGTTCAAATTCGGATTGGTTCGTTGCTAAGGAGCTGCGAGACTGTATACTTAGGTCTCACGACTGTACGTTTTGGTCACCTGCGTGTCCGAAAGGGTTTACGTAGCAGGTAGTAGTTGCTACTGAGTAGCGGCTACAAAAGTTTCACAAGCCTTCCAGTGTTCTGTAGGACCCTGGAATGCGTCTATGGATGTATCTGACGAAAATCAGGACCTTTTGTTGGTGATGTTTTGGGGCACTAAACTTCACTTCACTGACACCTACAGGAGTTTAAACGATGCGCCAGAAGCAGGCCTTTCAGCTACACTAACTTTCAACCGCATAGCTCCAATACTTCCTGAGATATTTCAATGTAACAGCCAAAAAAGGCCCATATTTGGAAGGTCCTAATTGGACCTTGGAGGCCGAATTTTTTTTTGCGCCTTTGCGATTTCAGTCGAACTGAGCAACGCTACAGGTCTACGACCAGGCTCATTGGATAGCCCTGTCCCATGCGCATCTTTTTAGGTGTCTGGGACCGCGAGGCAGGTAGTGGTGTGTAGAGTAGCACCCAAAAACCGAAAATCGGGTTTCGTCAGATACATCCATAGGGGCATTCCAGGGTCCTTGTTCTGTAATTCAAGACGAACGAAAGTATTACTGTCGTTCCCAAAAAGGTTGCCACATCGACAAAAAAATTTTGTTGAGGTGGTCTGTGCGCGCTGTCAGAATCTGACAAGAGAAGACAGCAGAGAACCTCTCTCTCTTTCAAAGTCCTTAGCTTTGAAAGAGAGGGAACCCTCTTTTTCGAATCCACAAATCCAATTTTTCTTTCCCCATTATCCGCCAAACCACCACATCCGTTCTGAAATTCCGATTTCTAATTTCTCATTTACACTACGGTCCAAAAGCGATGTAATGGATACATAATTTCACAGTCTGTCTCAAGGATTCCGTTTTGAGATCTTGAAAACGTACATAGTAAATAGGATCCCAGCTACAAAACATCGACATGAACGGTATCTTTCAGGTATATATTTTTTACATCACAAAATTGGTGTATCAGACGACTCGCTAGGTTGCGAAACTGTGTGGATCATCGGGAGGAAAGGCAGATCGAGAGAATTTTAACCCGATGGGGGTGCATTTTTACAAAAAACTCATTGCCTCACGTTGGCACTTTCTTATTATCCACATTTCAGGGATTGGGAACTTGGCAAGGAAGTTGAAATAAATAAAACAGTACTTTCAAGTTTACACTTTTCAGTTCAGTTGTGAGTACAAATAACAGAGACATTGGGAGATACTGTAATCCTTTTGGGAGACAATGATGGGATAAAAACTACATCGTATACGAGTGATATTAGGGA